ACATGAGTTGTATGTAAATATGAAGGAGCTGTATATATGTAAGTGAGTGTATGCTCGTGTGAGATTATATATAACAGCTAATACTTTGAGACATTAGTACCAGAAGGAAGATAAAAGCCAACTCATAGAGACTTATTAAAAAGGTTTTTCCAATTTACTGTGAAATGGCTAAGGATGACCACTTTGTTAATAAAGGCTTTTGTGTATAAGAATTATGAGGTTGTTATAAATCCCTGGTGACAAGGATCTTTTTTTTTTTTTCTCTCCAGTGATTTTTGTTTCTCCTAATCCATTTTCTTTGTCAAGTCTTCTCTCTTCAGCTTTCTGATATTCAAAGCCTCATGGCTTTGAGACAAAAGATATGGACTATTTAATCCAATCACAAGGGGAGGGGGGCATCTCCCCAGGTAATACTTCTCCCTTGGCAAGAGGCTAGGGTCATTACTTGGTATTTGAGGTGTCTCCAAAAGAAGCAGTGTTGAGGCAGCTGGACTATTTTTTTTTATCTTTGGTCCTATGTACACATGAGCTCCTCACTTTAAATCTTGACCTTGTGTCACATTCTGTTCGAGTCCATACCAATTCCTCTGATATTCTATGTACTCAAGAATAAATTTCCATTTAATTATTAACAAAAATTTCTAAAACTGATTCTCATTTGTCTTGATATACAAGTGATAAATGAGAGAGTATAGGGGGTACCAATATAAATGTATTATATATAGATTTTATTGATTTTAATCATGTATGGATACATGGAACCCCATACATGTTTCACAAAGATATATAAAATAGAGATGTCAACCATTTAATCCTAAAGATGTTACAAATAAAAATGATTTTTTGCAATGGATTTAAACAAGAGCGAATTGAAAATCAATCTTAAACTGATCACATCTATACCAGTATGAGCAATAACATCCATCCATTGCTACTATATTAGTGTGTGTATGTCTATGGTCTAAAATTTGGAATATTGATAGAAGAAAAGTGCTCAGTATCAGAGATAGAGTTGTGTGGTGATAGGAATCAACACTATATGGTGACTGTCAATTTCACACCTCAATACAAAATTCAGATCTAGTTTTGAAGTGTGAAACTGACAGTCTCCATGTGTGTGTGTGTGTGTGTGTGTGTGTGTGTGTGAAATTATCCCCCCCATCACCAGTGGCACAACCAAGTTTCATGCACAACACAAATGCTAGGTGCTGATTGAAAACTCAATCAGTTCTCAATCAGCACCTGGTGATTGCCTAGTGCATGAAACTCAGAGTTGTGCTACTGCTGAGGAAAAACATTGCCTTTTTATTATTAATATAAATTATAGCTTATACATTGAACACTATTTTATTAACACCAGCACTCAATGTACTAAAAAGGCCTACATATTTGTAGAAAATTAAAGACTGTTAAAAGTGACAGTATATGAATTTTTCAGGTATAAGGTGAGACAGCCAAAAGACAAACTTTACTAAGAATCCTTGGACCACTGCTGATATGCGTGTGTATGTATGTGTGTAATTTCAGATAGAATATATCACTAAAGGACAATATGAATATAGGCAAAAGGAAAACTTATCTTAGCCAATGCATTCCAGGCTCCGAGGGGCTTTATCAAGGCAAAGAATAAAGTCCCTCTGAGGATGAAACGCATCAAGTTTTCCTTTTCTCTTTATTTATATATGTGTGTGTGTGTGTGTGTGTGTGTGTGTGTGTGTGCATGCATTTCAAACCCAAAGTGATCTTCAATATTTATATTTATAAAAGTTGTATCTCCAATATTGAGTACTCTTCCACCAATAAATATAGTAAATTTAAACTATGCCATATACTTGTAAAGAAATCCTATTTCCATGTCTGACAATCACATTTGATAAAAATTAAAAATAAATAGAAAACTTAACAACTGAGCTATAGCCTATACCCTGTTATGTATACATAACTATAAATATGTACTAAGCTTAAAAGCCACAATAATAAGACACCAAGTGAAAAATAAACCCACAGCAATAGATTCTGTCTAATAAGACATTGTGGCAAGCACCTTTGTATATAATTGTATGTATGTGGAAATTTAGACATTTAGGCATATAGCTATGTACGTGGATGCAGTGTAGATAAGAAAATAAAAAAGGAAATTAATTGAACCATGTTTATCATGTAAAATAAAGAGTTGTTATCCAAAGCAAGTTTAAGCCAAATGAAGAAAAAGTGTTTATAAGTTACAAATAGAAAGGTAAAAACCATTGTTCCCATGAAACATTGTAAACATTTGTATAATTAACAAATTTAAGTTAACATCTTAATCACTGACATTGTTTTTTTTTAACCATTTGTGTGTTTTTTGGGGCTTTTTTTTAGTGAAATGTACTATTAGTGCTAATAGTTGACATTTTTTTAGCAAAGTAACTTTTCAGCTACTCCAGGACAACTGTCACATTTACTATGTATACATTGTCTTGAATCACTATCCAATTCACTGGCAAAGTAAGAAGACCAGGACAAAGAAATTTTTCACAAGATATTTCATCAGTCACTCTCAATTGGTTAAAGGCAATATTTTAATGTTTGTAATTGAGAGACTTAAAAGAAAAAAAAGTTATAAATACATGTTCATTTTTGCTATTATCCAGAGTGGAAGGTTTTAAATATTTAACATTTTAATTATTTTCAGACTTGAAGGATTTTGTTTTTTTAATTTAATCCATTACATTGAAAGACTTAAAAAAGATAAAAGGACATTCTTTATATCTTCTATATTTTTATATAACAAAAGATTTTTTTTTAATTAATTTAATTACAAACAGCAAAGAAAAATAAAATACCTGAAGATGGTTAGGAAGCTAAAACCTGAAAAATAATACTTATTTTTAAGTTTTATAAAATATATTACTCCCCACCACCCACACACACACACACCAGTATAACAAATTTTGAATTTAAAAGTCTTTACAAGATCTGGCCCATTCTGAAAATATCTGGGTTCTTAGGTAAGTTTAATTTCTCTTTTATGGAGATGAGTGGAGTCCTACCTTTCCCAAAGATTACATTTCTCTTTTATAATAACCAATATTTTTAAATTATGCTTAAAATGAACCTTACTTAAGAGACCATTGGTTACCATGTTAAGCTTTAGATAAAATTTCAGGTCACTACAAAAAAAAAAAAAAAATGGTTAAAAATGATTGAACTAGCAAATGGGGGGGAAAAAAGAATAAATATTGTACATTCTTTATTACAATTTAATCATTTTCTTTTGTATAATACTGTCTATTAAAGTTTGATTTGTTTATTTTCTGATAATCAATTGTAAAAAAAGAAAAGAAAAGAAAAGGAAAAAAAATACCATCTGAAGTTAAATTTGGCATTAATGGCTTGATTAATCCATTAGCTTCAGGTGACAGGAATCTCGGTCATTACAGTTCTGTGGGTCAACTGCAAATGACAGAAATTTCCATCAGTTACACTTTAGCTTAATGCTAATAAAAATTTTCATTTTATTGTGATTGATGAAAATTCAGTTTTACTTTTGAGTCAAATATACACTCCTTTCTCCAACCAAGAAGTTCTTAAATCATAGAGGATAATTTTAATATTCCCCCACCCCTGAAAATGACAAAGAGTTATTATTGATGAACACTTTTATGAAAGTGATCAATCAAACTTAGATTTATCATAAGGAAGAAAAGTTTACTAAAGAGGTCACAATTGATAATAAACAAATACACCAAGCGCTTCAATAAGCAGAGTGGTCACTCATTGGAAGCAGAAGATATTGGAAGAGGCAAAATAAAGGAAACCAATCTAAATAATGTTTTAGAGATTTTTTCATCAACTGAAAGAGATAAATTTCAGATAACATCTACCAAACAAAACAGGGTTTTTCTAAATATTTTCTTCTCTATCTTAACCATTTTCTTTAGTAAGTTTTCTTTACATGCTGTTTTAAGTCATCTCAAGAAAAATTGAAAGCAAAAATATTATTATATTAAAAATGTTTCACTAACTGCTCTGAAAATGTAAGTAATTTCTGCATTTAGAAACTGATGACTGAGCTGCTCCTGTGACAATTCATGAGATTTTGTGTTCATCTGTTATATTTAAATTTTGTTTTAAGTAAGCCTTAACTAACATTGATATTTCTATATAGAAATGTTTCCATATTATTTTTCTAGCCAAAGTTATTAGGTTCAAATATGGTTTCAAGTTTGCTGAATTTTATTTGATTATTCAAGATGCAATGGTAGAACACATCTGATGTATGCCATTGAAAGCAAAAACTATTCAATAGTGGATACTATTTTGAAGGGGAGTTAACTACTCTAAAGTACTTTAACATCTTTAGTCTAATAAGCACCATAATTGAGTCTTTATTTTATCATTAATATCAATGTGTAAATTTTAAGCTGTATTATGCAGAGAATGCTTTTTTTTTTTCTTTCTTTTCTTTTTTTTTTTAGATTAAGTTAATCTTCAATATCCAGCAAGACAAATATAAGGATACAAAACAAGGTTGTTCATTATAGACAAGTTCAACTTAGACTCAACCCAAATATGAAGATAAAAATTTTACAATTTGAGTCTAAGTTGATATTATTCTAAAAGAAGGTAGGGGAAGAATAAATTTGAAGATTTAAGAATTGATAATACTGACAGAAAATCTTTTTTTTTTGTCAATTGTAAGTAAAAACAAAAAAAAACAACAACAGTTTTTAAGAAATGGTAAAAAGAATAATCAAAGCATGCTTTCAAAATAGAAGAAAAAGTTTATTTTGAAAATGAAGAAGTGGAGGGGCTGCTGCTGCTACTGCTGTTTTTTCAGATAAAATTTCTGGTTTGTCATCTCTAAATCTTGGCTCATCTGTGATTGTCATGTCCTCCAGATGTTTGATATCACTCTCACACACACCACACACACAAAACTTTATGTTCACACAAGATTAACCCTTGATGGATAGTAAAAAGATTTTTAAATGAAAGACATCTACAAGGCACTACTTTTAATTACTAGCAAGGTGACTTGGTATTTGTTCAGGGAGAGAGAGAAAGGGAGGAGAGGATTTTAAGTGATATTTTAAAATGCAGGGGTGGGGATTTCCAGAAAAAAGAAAAAAAAGAAAAATTCTTGTGCCGTCAAAAATGTGAAATCTGATGGAAAAAAAAAAAAAAAAAAAAAAAGTATCCAAATAATTTTAGAAGTCTTTTTTCCTTTTTCATTTATTTAATTTGAACCATTTAAGTAAGCCTGAGTTTTAAAAGAGAAAAAAAAACAAGTGCAACAAGAGTGGATATTATGAAAGGACAGAGTTCACCATATCACTGAGAATAAATAAAAAAACAAAATTAAAAAAAAGAGAGAGAGAGAAAAATGTAACTTAGGCCCTTACTCCTAATATAAAAGGTTGTTCCTCAGATTTCTTTTAAATGAAGACCACCGCCATTCCCTATTAACACAAGCATTTCAAATCAAAGAATATGCCATATGCAATTTGCTTAATTTCATATACGTGAGTCAGTCCAAATAGAGAAATCAATACTTATGTAAATCAGTATTTTATATTAGAGATTCATAAGAAATTGTACCATTGGCTGATTGCTGGTGTAATAATATAAATAAAGGGAGAACAGCCAACCATCAGGGAAAAGTGAAACTGTATAAAAGGTTAGAGTTACAAATCACTTATTACAAGTAACTTATTAGATTAATTTCCCACCTCCAAAAAATCTGACAGAATTTTTATGATGCCTGCTTGCTTGGTTAAGTGAATTAAACAGGGATTTGGAGCAAAACCTTGTTCATTTAAATAATAAAAATAAATTTGAAGGAATGAGATAAGACAAATGAAAGTTTTCAGTGTGTCCCAAGATAGTTTTTCTGTTTTTCTAACATTAAATCAAGGAGCCTGTGTATTAAAAGTCCTAGCCATTAAATTCTAGAAATGTCTGTACCACATTATACAGCAAAATTTTTTTCCAGACATATCATAAATTAACTAACATATATTGACATGTGAATATTATGAATTGTTAATAGTAAATAAAAAAAAAAAATGACAAATTTCACAGAGAACAAATATAAGTGACATAAATGGTTCTAACCAAGGCAAATCCAAAGCCTTGGTACTGCCTTGGTTTTAACCCATTTATAAGAATAACTAATCTAACAAATAAACATCTAATCAAATAAAAAAATTCAAATTTTAATAGACTGTACCAAATAATTTTATTTTAATTGAACAAGGAAAATAAAATTAAAAAATTTGTTTGCAATTATTTGGAACAAATAATTAAAAAAAATATATAAAAATAAAATTTTAGTAGTTTGGGGCTAAAATTTACAGAACATGAATTTCTTTTCTTTTTTTTTTCTTCTTTTTTAATTATTAACAAATCAGGATGGAGAAAGTTATAATGTAAATACAATAACTTCCAAACAGACAATTGCTTTTCTTGTTCAAATGACCATAAATTAAATAAATACCTTGTCTCTGCAATACTTGAATTGATAAAAAAAATATTGAACAAGAAATGGTTACTCCTACAGTTTACAATTTCTATATGAAAATTATACCCCTTTCAAGATATTTGATAGCAATACACAATATTATAAGTGTTAAAACTAATGGAAATTGAAAAAAAAAAAGATGGTATATTTAAAATCTCTACTACACTATAACACAAAAGCTGTTCAAACCATAAATCTATTTCAGATTTCTTAAACTATCCTTATTTTTATTCTTACTGTTAACATTTTAATTAATAATCTTTAAGTTAAATGTATCATTAAACATCAACAGGAAATAGTTTTCAAGAAATTTCCATTTGTTGGGTTAACTTTCCTTTTGCTTCCCTAATCGGTATACACTGTGCTTGGCAAGTCACGTGACCCATCATAGCCACTCAGTGAAGCCCTGCTTTGTACAGAAAGGAGTTTTAGGGTAGATGCCATGAAGAGATGTTGTTCCCCTAAATACATGAGAAAAAAAACTTCTTGCAACATGATGTGCTGGATTTGTGAGTAAAGAGACTTTTGTAATTTTCATTAGCTTTCCTTTTCAGGATTAGAGCATGTAACATATTTGTATAATTTGTTTGCATTTCTCTTTGTAGAAAATAAAACCTTCATTTATGTTCTTGTAACTTCTCCGTAGCCATTATTTCTTTTTTTTTTTTTAAATGTTTATGTAAATATCTGTACTTACAGCAGGTACTATTAAGGTGATCCATACATATTTGGTAAACCTAACATATTAAATAAAGATAATGAATTCTTGTCTAAATTTGCAGGTTTTTGTTTAAGAGGTTTTAATAATTGTATATAAATTAGTTCAGACTAATTTTATCCATCTTTGGTGGTTAATCATAACATTTCAACCACATACACTCCAAACTTCCTCAAGTATTTTTTGAGTCTTGCTGAGAGTAGAAGTGACATGCATTTTCTCTCTGCACCTGTTTGTTGGTGGGATTGTCATAAAAACAAACAGAACATTCCAAAGACATACTGGTCAGAGAGTATGCACCTGGATTGTTGTAACAAGATAAGAAAATTAATCAAAATTAATTTATATACAAAAAGGTGACAAGGTTGGCATATTCCCTTATGTCCAGAATTCAACTTGATGGCTATGTATTCTAGCTGAGAGTTAGTGGGGACTAATTATAATCATTTTTTTTTAGGCAAAACACACTATTTACTGTTGTTAGCAGACATTTCAATTTCATTAGCAAATCATTGAATTAAGCAATTACTACTAAATAGGTGACTAACTGATAACATAAAAGACTTAAGACTAAAAAATAAAATGTAGGTCTTGGCATAAAAAATACAAATGACATTCAGTGGTTTTGGATCTATCACATAAATAACTAGTACATTTAATACAACTTTTGAAGCTTGTAATTATTTTTTTTAAACAAAACATTTCAAGTTGTCATGTCGCCATAGTCAGAACATATAAATAGTAATCATAATCAGTAAACAAGTACAATTTTGATATGCAATTTAAAAAACTGCATATCAAGATGAAAGGTTGGATTTTTGTGAACAAATTTATATTGATAGTTTTAAATAGTATAAAAGACTGAAATGATTGATACTATCAGAGAATGCAAAAAGACTTGCCTAAGGTTCAGATACTCAGTCACAAGTGTTAAATACAAAGAAATGTGGTAAATTTTTTTTTAATTCTTTAGTAGATGAGCCATACCAACAATCTCATAATTACTCTCAAACTAGAAACAATAATTTAGTATCATAGTCTTTTCTCATTCAAATTCTAAATAGTTTTTATTGGAAATGAAGTTTCTGGAATTAATAACATTGTTAAAATACATTAGAAATTAAGTACATATAAATCTATATAATATATATAAGTATTTCTATTTAACTAAAGAAAAAAGGCTCTCTTAGAGTCTGTCTATTGTTACAAGAGGGCTTCATGAAATGAAGTTTTGCTTTACTTTAAAAAAATAGGAAATAAGAAAATAGATTGAAAGGAATATAAAAAGTGAAAGTGAATTTTCACTGCACTCAAGTAAGAAAAATTGCTGAAATTTTGTTTATTTAAATTGTATGTTTAAAATGTTTACTTTTTTTTTAAATCGACAATTATTTTAATTAATGATAACTGATAAGGGAGAGAACTCACTTAAAAATAGCTTGTAATAAAAAAATGAAAAAATATTTATAGGCTTAAACACACAGTTGCAACTTCATTAAATTTAATGCAAGAAACTTTATTCTATTTTGAAAAACAAAAACCTGAATATGATACACCAGCAGAATCCATCTTGCAAGATCTTAACCTTAGTTGTTTTCCACTTTATAAAAGGAAATATTGACAAGTAAGTTTCACAAGATATATTGCATAATGCTAATTTGAATACAAATCATTGGGATCTCAGGATCAATCAAACTGTAGCAAATTCAATGTTACATTACCAAATCAACCATAAATGTCACATCTATGCTTGATCAAGCAATAAAAATTCTTTAATATCTTTAAGATAGCAGAAGACTTTTTTAATGCTATAGTTTCATCTGCTATTCACATATTCATATTCTATAACCAAGAGACAAAGAAACATTCTACTCTTTCTTAAAAATACAAAACATTCTTACACACTGATGTATTCAAACAGATTTCTCCATATTAGTTGTGATAGTTGCAACATTTTAACCATTGGCCTGCGTGAAGAAATCAGTGTATAATCATGATAATTCCTCATTTTAAATTCAGACAGAAAATATAAAGTTTACAACTTGATAATTCATGAAGATTTTGATTTGAAAGATAGCCTTAATCTTTCTATTGTCCATGACAATCTGAAAACAATCCAAGATAAAACGTTTTATTACTTCATTTGATAAATCAAAATATTTGAATCTTAAATGATATAATTACAAATCGCATGCAATTTTTAAAACAAGCCACAAGAGCTGATAATGTTAGTAAATCACCTAATTTGAGCAAATATGAAACATTTGTAGGACTTCCTGAAAATTCAACTCTTTAGTTCTAATGATTAACATCAGTCATATAGTTGATGCTTGTTAGTTTCAAATTGGTGAACAGGAATTTAACATCTATTATTATTTTTATTTATTATTCAGTTAAGCTAGCGTGAACATTCACGAGTCTATAACACCAACCATTACGGTCCTTTATACTTAACCGTAAATATATTTTTATAATTAATTAAATTCTATTTTCAGGTATCATTTTGTCAGCCATCACTAAAATTTAAGCAAATGGTTAAACTGACAAAATTTATTCAGCAGTATTAATAAGATAATTCATCCACTAGTGAATGAGCTATAGAGGGAGGGATTTTTTTTTAACCATTCCTTGAATAAAAAAAAATTTTACTCTTAAGTGGGGAGGGGGAGAGTACACTTAATAAGAATAGTATTTTCAGTAGGGAATAAAAATATTTTTAAATAGGGAAAAAATATCTAAAATAAGAACAAAAATAATATTTTTGATTATAAAATATTTTCAATAAGACAAAAATAATATTTTTAATAACAAAAGCAACTTTTTTTTTAAAATAAGAATTAAATGATACATATGAACCTGCCCCCACACCAAAAAGAATTAAAATGCCAAAAACAAACAGATAGACAAAAAAAAAACATTCATAAAAGAAACTTTGTTGGCTGAAGAAGGGTTAGTCAGGAAGTACTTGGCATCTGAGGCAGTGTTCACAAATGGCAATCATTGGGTTAAGATAGATTCAAGATAAGGAGTTTCTCTTTTTTATTCTTTTATTTTTTTTAATTTTGATTTCCACTATGAGGAATTTTTGGAGGGGGGCGGGGAATAGTTTTGGAGGAGGGCCTAGTCCATATTTTTCTCAAGAGGATCAGTTGTTTTTAGATCTAAATGAATAATTTATGCAAGGGACTGGAAAAAGAAAGAAAACTAAAATCTGGCAACAACATCAGTTGCTAAAACAATACTGGAGGTGAAGATGTGTACGGAAAATAGGTGATTTGTCGGTATTTTTCCTTAGTTCTCTTTTTCAAAATTTAGTTTATAATGAGCATTCTTTTACATTTCATTCATACAAACATGCTTGTGTGTACCCTATATAGGATGTGGCAGAAATATTTCCCACATAATCGTAAGATATTGGTGACAATAGTGTGTTCATCTAGCTAATGTCTTACCATTATGTGGGAGGTATTTCTGCCACATCATATATATATATATATAATTATATATATATATATATATATATATATATATATATATATATATATATATATATATATACACATATATATATATATACATATATACATGCAAAGTTAAAAACATATACTCTCACTTTTACAATAACTAAAGGTCTTGGGATGGTAGGAAAGGTAAAAGGGGGTAAGGGAAAGTTATGGGAGTTGTTAACACAAAATGTTGAAATTCAACTTTGTTTTGGGAACCAGAAAGGAATGAAAAGATCACAGTTTGTATGTTTTGTCCAGTTGTCTGTCACATCTGTGTTAGATTGACCGTCCTTTCTCCTGTTCTCTCTCTCTCCCTCCCTCACTTTTTCCTCCTCCTCTTCCTCCTGTTTCCTGTGAGGAGGAAGAGGAGGCAGGTATCTTAGAGATGCATCACTGTCACTGATGTTGCATGCTATCTCCTTTAGTAACCGAGAGAAGAGCAGGTTGTTGCACAGTCCACATCCAATTACATTACTGTACATTGATTAGAATTCAATAATTTGGGAAAGCCATTTGCATCAAATTCTAAACCAGGGGCCTGAAATATTAAGAGAAAAAAAAATTAACAATGATATAAAGACCCAACATATAGTACATAATATTTTCAATAATCCAACCAACAGCTTTTCTAAGTATTGCTGTAGCTACATTATAAAAGTTTAACAGACTGTTACAGCTATTCTTTCAAGCTTTTTTATACTAAAAAATTAAGCAACTAAACTCACTATAACTGTGAACAATGACAAATGGTAAAAAGAAGCCAACAATGATCCAAGAATAATTTAGAGAGTGCTTATTAAAATTGCTATCTTTGCACATAGAGATGCAAGTGATTAACCTGTGAAGAAAGTAAGATATAGAAGTGATTCAATGACAAAAATGCAGGTAAGCAAGTCATAGCAAGAAGGAAGGATAACAGATGGAGCAAAAGGTTGTTTGAATGGTGCCCAATTGATAACAAAGGAAATATAACACCAGGAGGAAGAAGATGGAGATTGAGAAGTTTTGCTAGTAAGACATAGCAGAGATTAGTGCATAGTCACAGTAATCATGGAAGGTATTGGGAAAGGCTTTTACCCAGCAGCAGGTTCACAGAGGATGGTTGTGTTGATGATAACATCCATTGCAGGAACTATGTAAGTCAGGTCTCTAATGTATATCATTTTAAGGTTAGTATCTCTATTGATTTATTTACTTTTAAACAGATCTTTAAAAAAATGAATAAAAAATGACATACATTAAGCAATTTATTTTGATTTTTTTTTTTTAAATTCAACATTATTTCTTATTACTTTAAATGTCAGAGTGAGTAAATCTTCCCTTTCTTCTAAAGTGAAATTCGTACCTACCAAACTGGGCAGTAAAAAGTCTTAAAGAGAAAGCCAACCTAGTTTAAAGGTGGTTTCCCCAGGATGAAGTTAATGCTGGTTCAATCCCTGTCAAGAGGCATATTTTCTTTAATATGACTTTCAGTTGCCCAGGCAGTAGGTGTCAATGCCAATGTTTTGCAAAACAAGACTGTCTACTCAAACATGTTGTACCCATTAAATATGCTTATAGTAATAAGAAATTATATATATATATATATATATATATATATATATATATATATATATATATATATATATATATATATATATATACATATATATATATATATATATATATATGTGTGTGTGTGTGTGTGAGATTGTTTAGGTAGCAAATGTTTTTAAGGCATATACTATTAAAAACAATAGACATTTTATGTTGATTAATTTTAATGATCATCTATTCTAAATTCACTTTGGACAATGCAATGCTTGATGAAATTTCCTGGTTTGAGAAGAATTATTCACAATTTGGTAAAGATGTTATCTTCATCGCTAATATTTTTCATTTTGCTTTTTATTGCAATGATCAGTTATTTTACAAGTGTTAGTTCATTTCCAATCAACACTGCTTACTAACAGTTGTACTAAAAAGCTACTGTTCATTCCATAAGTGATGTCCAAAGTTTGATAGCAACAGACTGAATGGTATTTTTGCTATTCTAAAATGCCTAAATGAAAACACTTGCCAAATTTTTTTTTTTTTTTTTTACAGTTAATCTATATCGTTACAAGTTAATAACTGACTTTGGACTCCTGAAGATGGAGCAGGTTTACAATGCATAAAGACATAATGCCTTCTCAATTTAGAAAAGCATTTATGTCAAAAAAACAAAACACAGAATATTCATGATATTTATTGGATAGTTTCTTGAAATGAAAGAAATTGTTGAAGATAGTTTGAAATATTTAGAAAAAGTGATTTCATCTTAAAAGATGCATTACAAACAAGTCATCATGTTGAGTTGAATGATTACCTGCTTTTATCTGAACTCAGTAGAAACAGTACTGTTACAATTGAAAAATAAGCTTAAAAGTTGAATTCAAGCTATTCAGGCAAATAGAGGGAAAGAGGGTCAAGGAAAAGAAACACAATACATACCTAGCAGGCTTAAGCATGTGGATGACAGAACAGAGTTTGAGAGAAGTAGCAAAAAGAAAAACTTATTGAGAACTACAAGAGATAGGAGAAAGTGGAGAGCCATGATCACCTACATCCTGAAGGGACACAGCACATAAAAGAAGCACATGTATACATGTAACCTATGACCTGATTACATGATCTTCCTTCTTTTAACTATATACAGAACTTTGACTTTTAGATCAAACCACAATGTTCAATAACTTTGTTTTATCATGTTTATGTATGTTACAATCATTTTTTGTTATATATTAAAGCTTACACTCACTTTAAATATGTAATAGTAAATTGTGTTAAATTACAATACTTTCTGAAAAATCCCTAAATCTGAATCCCTCTCTTATATATAGACAAAGTAGAGAGACTGCTTATTTAAAATTATCATCATTGTCCATGTATGAAAGGTGTATAATAATTCATTATTACCTGTAAAAAGCAAACATATACATATATATTTGAATATCTATGAGATGTGTTCTCTTAGAAAAGAAACAAAACATTTAAATTTACATAATTTTAAAATTCCATTGTTAGGGTAATACAATGCTTGCATGCTTCAAGTTGCACCAGTCACATCTCAGTATCTTAACATTGGATTTTCTCATTCCTTAATGAAATCAGATTGCTGGTCATTATCCAACAGGCAAGTCTACTGTTATGGACAGAGAAATAAAGCAACACAAGAAGTCACAGTTTATGATATAGACAGATGTGTCAACAGCAATGAATGTGTATCCTTTACAATAAATTTTGGAAAAGTGCAGACTATGACCAGATTTTAATTATTACACTCATCTTCTCTGATTCAAATTTGTACTTAACTCAATATAAAATCTTCAATCCCCTCAAATGAGAAAGTATGAAAATGCTATCACAAGAATTGCTTGGGGAGTTCATTTAAGAAAGAAGTAAAACTCATCATCAGTTGATATAAAATTAAAAAAAGTCTGTCATAATTATGAAAACTTAATAAAAATATACATTTAGTTATGAAATTTTGGATGAATTGAAAATGATGAAATTTATATATTAAGAGTAAGAGATGACTGCATTTCAACATTAATTTCTTTTATGTACATATGCTACATGTACATAGTCATTATTTTTTTTGTTAGTATAAAAATCATTTTGTTAGCATAAACAAATTAGAATATAAACAAGATAATACTTATATTTCTAAAGGAATACATTTAAAAAAAAATGATATTATGTTAACACAAAAGGCAGTGACAAAAAATAAAACTATGTACCTCCACTAATTCAAAAAAAAAGAAAAAAAAAAGCATACTATGATGAGAAAATGCCCCAAACTTGATGAAAACTAAGTTTTAACATCAAAATCTTTGTTGTTATTATTAGGAGGAAAGATCAAAGTTCATTTTTAAATATTTAATTAAATTTTTTAATCCTTTTTAGAACATTTGAAATTTTGATTAAAATCTTTTCTTGCATCAGTGGATGAATTATAAATTAGCATAATAAATTTTAGCATCCTTTTTGTGGTGAAATATATTAATTTGGAAATTCTTGCAAAAATCAAATAATTGTTGGGTTTTAATGAAACTTTCATGACATTCACAAATTAATTATTTTAGAAAGTCTTTTTTTTTTTTATTTTTTTTTTAGAATATCTTGGTAAAAATATTTTTTAACATGTGTTTCACCCCATAATTTTATGAAAACTCAAGAAATTTTTTTAATAAGAGATTTATATTTTTAGAACAGTTAGCTAAAAATGGTATAAAATTAAAAATTTTTAGAAATTTCAAAACAAAATCTCCACCCACTCAATTTGAATTAGTTTTGAAATACAGCCAAGTATTTTACTTATTGTAAATATTAAATTTAATCTATCAGCTTTAAACTAAAATTAAAATAAAAGGTTCAACAAAGATTTTTTAATTTTTAAAAATTTGTAATCCTGAGGTATTGCAAATCTGTCAAGATATCTAATTAAAACCATTTTCAAATGAAACAAATTTGATTTTTTTTTTTTTTTTTTTAAATTGAAGCTATATTCAAAAAGTTAGTTTTAAAATAATATGCTGGTTTACTTACCATTTCTCCAAGGATTTCTTTGGGAGGTTGACCTAATTCTTGCATCTTAGGAAAAGAAATTAAATAAAATACAATGAAAAAATAAAATTTCAAAACAAAGAGAAAAATTATTCATTTTAATTTAAAATACAAAGTAGATGGAACTCATTTAACAATGACAATTAAAAAGTGTGTATATATATATATATATATATATATATATATATATATATATATATATATATATATATAAGAGAGAGAGATAGCTTTTATTCAAAATCTTGAAAATGGTTGGCTACTTTTACTTACATTCTTAATAAATTTTGATGTATGATTTCTGGTTTATTCATTTCATGAACCAATTGTTAAAAAATAAATGTAAACAAAACAAAATAATGACTTTAAATTTTTCTCTTACAAATTCAAAAATATGTCGCCATCCATAAAAAAAAAATTATGTTACTGCAATCAATAAATAACAAAAAGACAAAGGAATAAAATTATGAGCAAAATCTTATTAAAAATGTTTATCATTACACTTAGATTGATTAATTTTAATTTAATTTTAAAAATATATTATTTTGGGGATGTTATACAATTTGTTTAATGGAGCTATCCTATATTTTATCATTTCAGGCATTAGATTTGGAAATGGCTAGAAACTTAAATAAAAGAATCACCATTTTAGAAATGTACAAGGCAAAGCCCTCTCCAAAGGATATTGACAAATCATTAAAAGTGAACACAATGTTAGATTGGAGGACCATCAAAAACGAGACTAGGGATGTGAAGAACAGGCAAGGACAAGGTCGTCCTTGAACTTCAGAGCTCATCAAATCCACCCAAAAGAAGCTGAGAAAACATTCAAAGAGGTCTCTCAAAAGTCTTGCAAAAGAGGCGAATTTGTCCATCAGAACCATGTCAACCATTCTCCATAAAGACCTTAAGATGTCTCCTTACAAACACCAAAAGAAACTGCTGTTAGCTGCAACCTCTGTGGAGAAATGACAAGCCAGATGCCAGGTCCTCCTCAAGCACATTCAGGCAGCATGCTTCCAAAACTTGTGGTCAGTTATGAGAAATTTGACATTCAACAGCATTTTAACAACTAGAACAATCAGATTTAGTCAAAAACTGGAGACAGTGAGCCACAGATAGTTACTTAAAGACAAGGAGCAGCTTCTGTGATCATGTGGGTTACTGAGATTGTGACAGGAAAAAGTCCTCTGGTTTTTGTGGAACAAGGGGTTCAACTCAACCAAGAAAATTATGTGAAAGACATGCTTGAGTCATAGTAATTTCCTTGGGCTAAAAAACATTTCAAAAACTGACGTTGGTCATTTCAACAAAATTGAGCACTCTTTTATGAGGCAAAAAGAGAAAAAAAAAAATATGTTCCTCACTTCATCTCAAAGGAAGACTGGCCTTCATCATCCCCAGACCTAAATCCTCTTGACAACAGCATCTGGAGTATCTTAGAAAACAAGGTTTCTGCTACACCCAACAAGAGGTTGGAGTCTCTGAAGACAAAACTCTTGAAGGAATGGGACAAAATCCTCAAAGCATTATCCACGCCTAATGAGAGTCATTCACCAAGTGTCTTCAGCTAGTTATTGATGCAGAAAGAGAGTGATAATGTATCAAATAAGTTTATGGACATTTGGTTTTTGTTTCTGCTTTGTAAAATATTTGCAAACTGTTTTGTTAAATAAAGATGGACAAAAAACTTTGTAATGCCAATTATTGAGCACTGTGTGTGTGTGTATATTCATACACACCTGTATAGAGCCATGCTAGATGTGGCTGATATGATTTCCATAGCAAGTAGGCCTTTACAGGTTGGAGTTGCCAGCCCTATATCCAGCTGGTTTTAAATTCAGAATTATCCTTTTCCACTCTGCTATTTAACTCATAGCTGAAGGGGGAAAAGAGTTTGAACTTGGCATGCTGATTTCACTTTCTGCACTAATAACCACTACACTATATGCACATCCATTTGTGCATGTATCAGTAAAATGAAAACTATTAATGGAATTACTGGAGCTAACCAGAGACAGTCACTTTTGTGACACACACACAAATAAAAATAAATATACATGCAACAAGAATGTTTTTGTCCTATTTTATGAATATAGGAGTGAATCTTGTTTGTACTTAGATTTCTGAAAAGAAAATGAGAACACTGAAAATTAGTTTTCACCTTATTTTAAGAGAAAATACTTAAATAATACAGAACTTGAAAAAATATTTTGCACTACTTATATATCCACTTGTAAAAGAGGGAATAATCTTCTGGTGACTGATTTTTGTAGATTAGCAACCTTTAGACATTTCGCAAACTTTGACATTTGTCAGAATCAAAAAATATTGATTTTTTTTTTAAAGCAATCTATATATATAATATAATATAGATACATCATCAAATCAGTCCCTGACTTTTATAGAGTTATCTGCACTTAATTTTTATTTACAATTGTTTTGACTTGAAATTGTGCTTACTACTTTAAAAATGTATGTATCTGTTTGTTCTTTAATGAAAAAATCATTTTTGCAAAAAAAATTAAAATTTTTTTTTTATCTAAAAGAAATTTTTTTTTGTAAAATAAAGAAAAATGTTTCCATTTTGCAGATATCAATGACATAAGCACAATTTTGAACTTGGAATTTGTAAACAAACAAAAAAGGTTCCAGTAACTTTGTAAAAAGCCAAGGATCAATTTTACACTGTATTGATATTATGAACAGGACACCCATCCTAAAATGATAACAAATCATTATTATTTTTTTTTTATTCTGACAAGTGCTGTGCCATAAGCAATGTCTAAAGAATGCTACTCTACAAATATTTCCAAAAGAGGACCAGTCTACTTAAGTAGTATCAAATATTTTAATTCAAATCGTTTGGAGTCTACTAGAAAATTCATAAAAATGGCTACTAAAGTAGACATAATAGTAAATTGATACTTACATGAAAAGAATTAGTATTTTTTTTTAACAAAAGAAAATACTTACTTCCTGCATAAGTTCAAGTATTCTTTTAAATCTGTGGTTTTTAGTATCTTCACTGTCTGCTGTGGTTTCTTTCTCAAACTCTTGACAAATGGTTTTCATCAGGTTGTACTGCAGAGTGTAATTTTCAATCAACTCCTTTTCCGTCTTTCCCTCATTTTCTTCCAACCATTTAGGATACTTCAATAATAATTAAAACAAAAAAAACATTATTGTTATTTATCAGAATTAACAATTTAAAAATATGCTTGACGAAAAGACAATTATATGAAAAAGTTTGATAAAACAAAATGAAACATTTTTTTAAAAAATCCTTTCACCCTAAAGAAAGCAATAGAGCCTCTAAGATGCAAGGGGTTACTGAGTGTGAGAAAATATGAGAAAAGCAAAATATTAAGCAGACAACAATAAAACAACAGGAATTAAGACAAAAATAACAATTGACATTGTATTTAAATTTTTGAAGATCAAAGTTGACGGGAAAGTGAGAAGTGCAATAGAAGAAACAGTTAGCATAAATCTTATAATTATATCTAGCTACTTCAAAAGTAAAATGACGAGACCTTGCCATCAATCTGGTACTATGCTTAAATTCACTAAGTCTACATACCATAGAGGGAGGTTCTTGAGAAGAGTTACTATGAAAATAAAGAAAAGGTACAGGGAAGCTACATCACTTATATCATGTCTTGGGTAGTTGATCAAAAATAGACAGTATAGAGAAAATGGATGTACATTGGAAATACATTAACTTTTCTTGATATAATATTAAACCAGACTCAATAAAGATATTTGTAACAATACGATTTCTCACACATCATTAAGAGATAAGTAAATAGATTCCTTTTCCTTTGAGTTAAGTACCCAAAACTTTCAGGAAATTTGTCTCCAGTCAATCTTTGAGTCAATTTAAGTGTTAGTGTTTTTGGGATTTTTTTTCTCCAGCTGCCTTTGAATTGACAAACATAAAATGTTGTTAATGGTTTTAAATAATTATAAAAGTAGTCCTTTGAAGAAGCTTATCAGCCAAAAAAACAAATGGGTGGTCTCTTGTTCTGGAACACAAAGGGATGGATAGAGATGGTGGGACCCTAGCTATTATCCATATAAGCAGAAAGAAGTGGGAGAAAGGGATCCAGCAGTTAGAGAAGTAGATAGGTGACCAGTGAGTGAGTAGCTGGATAGGGAGGAAGGGACCAGCAGAAGTTAGGAAGATAGCAGTCCAGTTCAGCTGAAGGAAAGATAGGCGACTAAGTGAGAATTCATATTGTTGCCATTTCCCAACTAGAGCAATTGTCATTATTCTTTGTGAATTCAATTATGGCCAAGTGGACAAACCTGTGCACATAGCTAGTCAGGTATATATGCGGACACAGCCAACATTGAATGTCATCAGGTTGTGCAGTGAGAGATGAGCAAAGCATGTTGTCACATTAAACAAGACTAAATAAAGATATTAATATTAAACTAGACTAAATAAAGATATTAATAATAAACCAGACTAAAGTAGTAATGGATGCACATTGGAGATACATTAACTTTTCTTGATATAATATTAAACTATACTAACTAATGATCTAAAACAATGGTAATATTAGCAGTTTCCTTATAAGGAAACATTTGGCATTCATTGACCAAGCAGCCAGCACTAGTGTCAGTTGAAATGTATAAAATCTTTCTCTTAAACAATTTTTCAGGAAAATAGGTTTCTCAAGTCCAGTAGATGTTATTTCTCTTTCCAATATTGATGGTGGTGGTGGTGATGGGTGGGTCCTGCCTAACTTTTTATTTGAAGTCATGTGGAATGTCAACAGCTTTATTATGTCATTATTTTCTCTTCAAGTTACATGTGATATCCATTTTAGTTGCTGTTGAACGTCCTCCACCAACAAAATGATCTCATAAGCTTCTATTCATACCATAAGAAATCTGGAATAATTATTGGGGTTTCTAATTAAGAGTAATTAGAATTTGTAGTCTTCCATATTTACATGATGTAGAGAAATACTTTTAAATGCCTTCAATATTCTAATTATTTGATATATTGGTTTATGAGATAATAATGATTTACTAATCCAGACTTCATGAGTTCAAGCGCCCTACGAGGCTGGCATCCCGCTCTCACCCTTTCACTGTCGAAATTCCTAAATGAAGCCGTCTCTTCTACTCCAATAGCTTCATGTCTCGCACCTCTCGCCTATTCCCTATTCCAGTTTCCCTGAGAGCTATAATCTCCAGCTATTCAATTGTAATGTCAATCAACATCTCCAGTTGCCTTGATCTATCCACTACCCCTTCTCCTCATCCTTTCTTCTATCACTCCTATCTGATCTTGCTCCAAATTTTCTGTAACCCTCATGCCCTAGTGGCTTCTCGCCTTGCTTGGGTGAAACGCTTTAAAAAAAAAAAAAAAAAAAAAACTATTTAACCCATAACTGAGGAATTCCACATAAAATTCTAGACACAAAAAGCTTACTGAATTACTAGAATTATACAGAATAATCTTATTTTATAGACGCAAAACTACCTACCAACAAAAAAAATAGTTACAATTGAAAAGAATTTGTCCCAAGATAAAATGTCTTGCAACTCCTGCAAAAATAATTAACAAAAAAGAAAAAAATCTTCAAGCTAAAGAAGGAATTTACAAAATAGACTGTAAAAATTGTTCCAAGAAACTTCTAGGAATTTAAAAGAATGTATGAAACACAAATGGGATCTTTTGTAAAAGGAACATACTTCTAACATTTTAAGCTTTATTATAACAATAAACTTGCTCATGTTATTACCACAACAGTTTGGTTGATCCATTCTACAGCCTTCTTCATGTGAACAATTCAAAAGAAAAGATTTAACAGAAAAAAATATAAATATTAGAGAGAGAGAGAGAGAGAGATTTATGTATTATATACTTGAAGAAGGCTGTAGAAGTGAACTGTTTAAATATTAACATCGTCATCTTCTGTCTCCTTAAATCCTGTTCTTTTATTGCCCTTTCTGTTCAAAAATGCTTTCTCAGTTTCTTTCACTCTCAGTAACCCCTTGCATATTGTGGTCTTATTGACATACATATCTAAAACAGGTTATAATTATGAACATTTGATAAAATACTTAAAAGTGAAAGATACAAATGTTTACATGCCAAAACAAAAAACTGCAACAATATATCAAAGCTAAATGAATAATTAATAATTTAGTCAAGAGAGAAAGAGCTAGTTAAAGATAAGAAAAGTTAATGTATTCAATGCACCAAAGAGATATTAGAAAAGAAGAAAATTAAAGTTACTAGAATGGATACTACCAATACTACTATGAATAAGTTCATAGAATAGATGCTACCAATACTACTATGAATAAGTTCATAGAATAGATGCTACCAATACTAATAATAGTAATACTAATAATTTTTTTTAATGCCATCTCTTTTCAGAACATAAGTAGTCATGACCCTTCAGATTCCTTTTCTCTATTATCTGTGAATTACTATGACTTGCTGAGAGACATAGTGGTTTTGAATTCAGAGTTGATGTCCTCTTAAACTAGAGTGCCTAGTCTACCCTACAATTTCACCCATAGCTGGAAGAAGAGATAGAGGTATGTTTTTTCAAGGGCATTAGTGGGAAAGTGAATGCAACAAACTAGACTGGAATTTGAACTCAACTTGCCAAATCCTCTTTCTGTACTGATATCTATTGCACTATCCACACAACAATTTATTATTATTAACCTTTAGCACCCTGTATGTAGGTGACTTCATTTGTCAAACAAAATGTTTGCACAGCCACTGCATGCAACACTAATCCTCAGACAATAGAGTGGTTGAATTTTGTGCTAGTGTTGTCATATCCCACTATGGTAACAAGAAAAAGACTAACTAAAAATCAAAGATGAGCCTATTGCAGTTGTCTGGCCACATATACCCAATGGATGAAATACTTATGAATATTGTAGGGTGATAAATATTAATAATAATAACAACAACAATAATTAACAGTTAAGAGAAGAGCATGATTTAAAAAAAAAAAAAAAATTATTAAGCATCTTTCAGTTGCATGTTTTCACACAAGCGTAGTTTCATTCATTATGACATATTCATTACCAGGACAACTTTTTTTTTAATTACAAGACAAGCAATTTTGTACAAAGGCTTATAATTTTTTGTAGATTTGTATATTTTTTATACTTTTGAAAATATAACTTGAAGAAAGGCATTCTGTTGAAATATTGTTTAACATTGCCAAACACTGTGTTATTTCTTTTTCTTAAATCCTGCTCTTCTCTTAACTGTTGAAAAATATTAGAAGAGTTACATCAATCAATTTTTTGTTTAATAATAATATTACTACTAATTCCACAACTCAGTTATGTGCCATGCGTGATACACGCTTAGGCAATCATGTATCTTTTGATACATGACTGATGAGGCACATTTTTCCCCTGCAGTAGGTTGCTATTTCTTTCTGCGGTAGAATGGTTGCCATCCAAGGCTGTAGAACCTGATCTGTCCTGCTATTTACCCATAGCTGGTGGGGGAGAAGAGTCATACCTTTCCCAAGGGTATTAGCACGTAAGTGAATGTAATGGATTCAACTGGAATTTGAACCTAGCTCTCTGATTCCTCAAGCTGAGCTGCTATCCATTACTCCACCACTATCTTCCCATAATAGTCACTACATTTGCAAAATATTTTCTTGAAATAACTTATGACATAAAGGAAGCATATTTTTCAGTATGCCCAGATTGCTACCAAATGTGACAAGGTTGAGAAACAATTTACTAAGCATAGCTTAGTTGTGGCACATGGGCGAAAATTTGGAACACCCAGTGAGGATTGAACTCACTACTCAGTCATAAGTGATCTCGCAAGACAAGCTTGCTAACCATTACACCATGTCAAAGTTCCCAAATGATTTAATTGTAGCTTAGATCTGGCACTATTTAATCATAATTGATCTAATGAGAAAAGCTTAATAACCATTACACCACGTCAAATGACTTTCTAAGCATAGCTTAGATGTGGCACAAGACTGGAAGTGTGAAGCACCCAGTAGGAACCAAACTCACTACTCAATTGTAATTGGCCTAGCATTTATAACAGAGGAAGATTGAAAATGATTTCTGCTTTATTTTAAAGAATTATTTTTTCTTGAAGTTTAAAAGTTTTCCAATACATTACCTGCGTTATTTTTATTATATTAGACAGATGAGCATCAAAAGAGGTGTCTTTTATTTTTAAATGCAAAAATGAGAAAGATAGAAATGACTATAATGATCAACTAAGCCAAAGACCAACTCCAGTTTAATTAAAATTTCTACTAAACTCACCATATAAGAAATTTACTAACCTTTTGAGATATTTCTTTTAAGGATGGATAGAGGACTTCTTTGGACAGAAGTGTTTTCATCATATTCTGCATCACTGGAAGAATATCTGGGTTATCAGCCCCTCCACCTCCAGTGTTTCCATCCAGTCCAACTCCAACATTCCCTGGGTTAAGACCCAGATTACTGAATGCTTGATTCAATTCATCTTCATTCAGCTGCTCCTGGAATTGGAAAAAGAAAAAAAATGGCAGTGCAAATTCATAGGAGAAAAGAAATAAGTGATTTCTATCAACAATTTTACAGCTGGAAATAAAATAAGGATTTAATTTACAAATAAAACAAAATATGAAAACAGTTTTATCTCTCTAGTCTTCTAAAAAAAAGTAAAAATAAGCTCACAGACACAGTACCCAATTGAAATATATACATAAAATTAAAATACCGCACAAAGAACACTCAACAAGTTAAAATCTTAAGGATCTAAATATTATTCTATTTTGAACTATTGTTCTCATCTTGGCTGATATACACAACATTTCAACCACGTGCTATCTGGTCATCATCAGGTGTTCAGATTGGTTGATATGCGATATCTGTTGATTATTATGATATTTTGTCCCTGTGATATCAGTTATTGTTCATTCCTCCTGAATTTGTACTCACTGTCTGATCCAAGAATTGAACTCCTGACCACAAGATAACAGTAACACCTGTATAACCAACTCTTATATCCACTACACTACTGTCCTGAAGGACATGAGTGGTTATGACTTCAATCATTGGATCTGCTAGTGAAGCACTAATTCAGAAGGAACGAACAATAAATGACATCACAGGGATGAAATATCACAATCAACATATTCCATACCAACCAATCAATGAATGCTGGAGGGTTAGTTGGTATTTTTTTAGTGGCATATCAACATTTCTATGGGTTATTTAATGCTGAAATCTAAATATTTTGTACACAATTTTATAGCTTCAACCACAGATATTTTGTACATAATTTTATACTTCCAGTGCAAACTTATGTTTAGATATAGTTTGGAGATAAATGTATTGCTGGTAATTTTACTATAAAAATGTTTTTTTATACTTTAGTGCTGTATTGGTTGACATTTTGCTATAAAAATGTATTACAATTGGTCATTTTTTTTTTTTAATAAATATATTGCAGGTATTTTCACCATAATGTATTTTTGTACTTCATGAACGACCAAACAAAAATTGAAACACTATATTCCCATAGCTGGTACCCTAACAGGTGCTACCACCTTGGGTCAGGGTGGTCCTGGGAACAACAGCAATTAAGAGATGGTTCTACACTCCTCAAAACCTCCAATCTATTGATCAGAAACTTTGTTGCCAGATGTAGTTTATCGTCATACCCATAGAGAGGGTACTTGGTTGAAAGATGTTGTCTACATTTGCTAAGATGAGAACAAAGATGGTCTCAGAAGTGACTAATATCAGATAAGTTGTCTCCCTTATGTGTTCCAACAGCCCAAATGCAGTAGTACCAAGGTGATACCTATAACAGGTCTGGCAGCCATGCAACTGGGGTCTATAATTGGGGACTGACATGTAGAAACCTAAATTACTGCTAAAGAACATTTTTAGCACTATTCTGTAATTATTTAATTATCAACTATACCTAGTGTTAGGAAACACCTCACAACTGTAACAATTATTGATTTATTTGCTTAAATGCAAATGCATGAAGAAAGAAAAAACCTAACCTTCTCTAACTGTATGCACAAAAATTACTTTATTTGCCACAATTATGAACATTTTAGATGATATTGGAGTAATAATATTACAGTTTGTTGATACTAATTGATCAAAAACATTGAAAATTTAATTATATAATATAATCAGTAATCAATAAACAGTTTATGAAATTATGTATGAACAAAATTTGAAAATACTTGGAAAAAAAAAAAAAATAATGAACTTCAGACAAGCAATAATTTTGATAATTTTGTAAATTTTATTTTAGTTTTCAACTAGCACTAAATGCTTGGTCCAACATTTCACAGTGTCTTGAAAATTATATATATATATATATATATATATATATATATATATATATATTTTTGTAAGTTTTGTAAAACTATAAATACATCTTGAAAACACACACACTATATATATATATATATATATATATATACACACACACACACACACACAAACATCAATAGCTGACAATGTAAGTTTTGTATAGATGCATAAGCATGTTGACAGCAGCAGAAGCGTTAAGTATTTTCTTGATTTAACTTATTTTTCAAAGTTATTATCTCCATTTCCACTGTTTTTTAAATTGTAAACATTCAATGGAACCCTCTCTCTGCTTTTCCCTGACTGGACAAATTAATCAACACATTTGTTTCACTTTTCATTCAAATCAGTGTCCACAAAAACTAGGAAAGTTTCACTGCATATTTACAAGTGACAGTAGATGAAATCAACACCACAGAAAGAAATGAAAACAAATGCAGGTTCAATAATTTGGTATTTTATTAATTGGGAGTTCAAAGTCAGAGCTACTTTTCTCTGGTAGTAAGTAGGTATTGCATATGTCACTTCAGTTCTTACTTCTGCAAAGCAACTGTTACATGACTGGCTGAACAAACAACTCCACTCTCTTTCACACCTTAACCAGAACATTACTTATGTAAGGCTGCAGATGAAAACTTTTTGTCCAAGTGTCACTTGACCTCAAAAGTTTTCATTTATTTATTATTTTACTTCTTTTCAGTCAAGTGGGCTGTTTCATTGAACACCAGATACTTCAGACTCTAGTCACATCATTTAGGGCCCACTTGACTTTGTGTGTGTTCAGCCGGTTATGCAGGGTTATGGCACAACACAACATTTTGAGTGCGTTTTTTTTTTGGTCTTCCTCAAACTGTTGCATCAAGTCTTTACTTGTCATTTGATACTTTTCTATATCTCCTCTAAGACAACAATCCAACAGAATGACAGGACTGTATATTTAAAAAAAAAAAAAAAATTAAATGCCTATATTTTTATGTTGTAATGTTTTATGACAATGTAATGTATAATGACAGGTCTGCATATTAAAGTTTCTTGTTAACTGTGTTAATGCAAGAAAAGGTCAAATTGAGCAAATTTGTTTATCCTTATAATGAAATCTGTCTTTTTATTGACATTCTGTTTTGACAAATATTAAGTTTATTTAGTGGAATTGCCAAAAGTGCCCAATTTGCTTTGCATTGATTGCTGATACTAGAGAGACCTTAACTACTAAAATTAGTTTTCTAAGGAAGGTTGACTGGTAAGGTTTCAGTACCATAACTAGATTAGTATTTTTCAAAATAAAATGTACAAATTTGAGAAAAAAACAAAAAGTCAAACTTACATTATAAAAAGAAAATAATGGAACCAATATAGCCACCACCTATATAAAATCAAGTGCTTTAAAATCCTTTTGTTACTTTTTGGATATTAGGTATTAGCAGAAATGTGTTAATAATAATAATGATGATGATGATAATAATAATAGATGACAAGATCAGTCTTAAAATCACAAAAGAAATAAATCAACCTTATGACAAATGATAAGAAAAAATAAAATTGTTCCTTTACCTGTAAACCCTCAGCATTTTGGGCCAAACTGCTCAATGTTTTAGCAAGAGTATCAGCAAACTCCTTCTGGGCCTCTGGGGAGTCACCTTACATATAAATAAATTATAATTCTATCAGAGATGAAATATCAACAAGTATTTTTAACTTTTGTCAAATGTTAAATTCACATGGTTAAAAGGCAGTAAAGTACGTTTTTCAAATCCAAATAATAAATTGGATATTATGCATGGAGTTTATGTAGCCACTGTTTTGATGGTAAAAACAGCGAATATTACTGATTTTGCATATTTTATTTTTTATTTGGTGGTTGTTTTTTTAACTCTCATTTAATGTTTCATAGGATCTGCATTTTACAAATTTATTGTGAAGTAAAATATCACTTAATGAAGGATTTTAACATGAATCATTTGGAATAGTGTTTTCATCTTTATTTTCAGAATAAAATTTCAGCCAAAATGGTCTATTTTCAGATGTTACACCTCTTTTTTAATGTAATACAACTCCTCTCCAAAGACATGGATGATGTGGCAGTTAACAGCACAGTGAATGGAATTGGCAACCCAAATTCAAACTCTGGTTGAGATATCCTGCATTCACCTCACACTGATGCCCTTGAGAAAAGCTATGTCCACATTTCCCACACAGCTACAAGTAAACAGTAGGATGTTAGAGGCATTTTGGTCTGTAAGCCAGTCCTACTTAGGTGTTGAGTTAACAACCCAGTCAAGATAAAAAAACTGAAACTGCAGCTGGATTATTTGGTGTTGTTGCAACCATTCCCTATACTTCACAAGAAATTTTAAGAGAAAAAAAACAAACAAAAGTTTTCCCTTCTACCCAAAATTTCATTACCAACTCAACTGGAGTCAATCACAGATTAGTGCTACAGATTCAAATATAAAAAAAAAAACAACATTTATAAAAATTAAACACCACAAAGGGAAAACTTAATGAAACATATAGCTGAATAATGTTATAAAACAACTGATTTTAACAATGAGGATATTTGTTCAAATAATTAATTGAATAATAATAATGCTTCATCTTAAAACGAAACAGATTTATTGAAATACCAACTATCAGACATTACACATTCTTTTAATAATATTAATCCATTTCTACATGATGGCAAACTATTTACACAGTCATAATCAGCTCCAGAGACCAATTTGAATACATTAAGCTCTAATGATTTTATACCAGAATGAAAACTTGGAAAACTTTATTATGGTAAAAAATACTTAAGATGAGGCACTGGTTGGAACATGGGATACTACAAGACACCTCCTACAATCTGAAATATATTTCAGCTTTAAATAACACAAAAAGGGTTGATAAGTCCTAAAAACAAATCAGTTGTCATGGTACAAAAATATTATAGTCTAATATATTAGGCTTGGAACCCAGTAATAATTGAGATTTTGCCAATCTAGTTAATTGTCTTGCATAAATGGGTTAAATAAAGGTTACAAAATTATTAAATTTAAAAATAATAAAATTGCAAATTCAATACTGTGGAGATATTTGAATAGTTTTTCTTATTAAATTTAAACTTAATCTTCATATCATGGTCTTAATCTTCCCTAGACACCAAGCTTAGTATATTATACTATTTTTGTACTATAACAAGGAGTTTAGAAATCATTGTTATAGTACAAAAATGTTATAGTCTAATGTATTAGGCTTAGTACCCAGAGAGGATTAAGACCATACCCATCTAGTTAGGCATTGTGCATAAATGGATTATATAAAATAATATTGCATCTCATCAACAAATCAGAGGCCTATCTTCAACTCAATAGTCTATTTGCAGGATCACAAATGTGATTAACATATTTACTGCTGCATGTGCATTGCTTCAGATGCACAGGTGTCTATTTCATGATTTTATTTATGGCAATATAAAGAGCTAAACTCAATTTCTGCCTTGCAGCACTGAGCTTAGAGACAATGTGCTAATTATATTGCATTGTATATGATAAATATCCAAGGTGACAGTCAATGTGTTGAAGAGCTTCTTAAGCTTAGACCAATATATACAATGTCAGAAATTTTACTAAGAAACATTTGTGTTAATAAAAGAGATAAATAATTAAAGTGGCCAAATATCAATCACTTCATAGATGTAAAATAAGAAAACCATCATCAAACCATATCAATGTGTATTTATGTATATATTTCCTGTCCCATCTGTAGTGGAGGTAAATCAACTTCCCTTAGTCATCTTAATAAACTATACAAATATTTACCTTCATTTAGACTTAATTAGTTTCTGAGCAAAATGAACAGTTTAATTAATCAGTTCCTTTACTCCAAAGTAAGTCTTATTTGTCCAAGCCTTTCATGTGAGGCAGTCAGATACCTTTGTCTATTAAGTGGTTGTTTTGCTCCAACTTGATCTTGAAATAGATTTTGTCATTGCTGTTTTAGTCATTCCGTTGCTAATTTTTTTTTTATGAGATATTTCCATTTCTCTGTTATATTAAATACACAAAATTTTTAACATCAAAAAATAAATTATAGATACCATTGAACACATAAAAAAAGTTCCTTGGCCTCTATTTTAGTTGTGAATTCTTTATCTCCACTTTATTGAATCACAATGCATTGTTTCAAGACATCTCACTATTAAAGCTTTCTAACAATAGCCATCATTTTCTGTGACACTGGCACAATTATCTAAGATTAATGGCCAGTCTTCAGAGGCACTGGTAGTCAATGAAGGCATCCTTCAGAGCTCACTTCCCAGACCAAGCTTCTGATTTACATAAATGACCTACCTAAGAATAGAATATACACCAATCATTTGTAAACGTCTATGCTGATGATACAACAATACACAGGCACACCTCTAAAAGTCTTGACAATCAGAGATTAGCAGCTGACCTCTCTTCCAATCTAACACCAACTTCTCAGTGGGGAAAAAATGGCTGGTTACATTCAATGCCTCTAACACCAAACTGGTTACATTCCATCACTGCCGATTCAACCCTGAACTACCACCAGTTACAATGAATGGATGTGCCCACATCTCGAGAGGATGTTGGGCCTCAAACTCACATCTGACCTCAAGTGGAATTCCAATATATGATCCATCATTAAAAATACAGGTAAAATGATTGGCTCCTTGTACCACTCCAGTAAGTACCTGATTCCTCATGCTACCCTCTACCTTTATAAGAGCCAGATCAAGCCCAAAATGGAGTACTGTTGCCATATTTGAGTAAGAGCTGCCCAGACCTCACTTTCCAGTCTTGATAAAGTTCAAAAGCATCTCCAAGTCCTTGTGAGAGAAGAATTATTTTCCGTACTCCAACCTCTCTCTCTCACAGGTCTATCACTACTAACCATGGTAAGTACTCAGACAAACTGCATCTCCTGGTTGCACCATGACTGACCTTCATGGCTAAGACCCACCATGCCACTTACATAGTAGCAAACTACCCACATTCCCTCTGTATTCAGTGGGAAGTAAGTTCCACTCAAACAGCTTCTTTCTGCAAACCACTGCCTATGAAACAGGCTCCCTGGAGGAAGGTTCCCCCCACAACCGATCACTACAATCTTAACCTGTTCAAGTCTAGTGTCAACCATTATCTTCCCTTCCTATCCATATAAACTACCCCTTATTGTAACCATCTACCTTGAGTGGGCCCCAAGGCCTTGTACAGAGCGAACCTTACATTAAAAAAAATAAAAAAAACAATACAGTTAACTTTGTTTCAGTAAGAGTTTAGTCAAGTTCATAAATGAGCAAATCTTGAAATAAAATTTTGTCAATATTTAGAAAAGAAAGGCTGTGAAAATAGCTGAATCCTCTGTTCATGTTAGGGGAAAAAAATTCAGTTATTAATTCAACAATCCTCATTAATTTCATTTTCCAAATAGCAATGATTTCAAAGACTATTCAGACAAATCACAAATTGAGGTTTTAAAATTTAGTACAAGAATAGAAAACCAATTGTACATTTTGATATAGAAATACAAGAAATCTTCTAAAAATGTAATATAATGTCCAGATACTTTTCTGTAAACTCGTCTGTTAGGGCAGCTAGCCAAACTGTTGCTGATGCCTACTCAGTCAGCTTTGTATTTGTTCAACATTCACATAGCCCACCTGCAGTTTATATTGCAACTATACTGAGCAAACCTTAGTTACAGTTTCTGAGAGAGAATGTATCATCTGGTTTGATTAACAGTACACTTGGTTTCAATGACTTCCAGCATTCTGTCTACCCAATTTCACCTACAAGGCTCTGTTAACCCATAGTATGGTTTTTAGGCACCTTCCAAAGGTGTCGTACACTTAGATCCTCTCCCTAGGACAATTACGCTAAAAAGCCACCTTCCTATCAACCCTGTTGGGATTCAAACCTGGGTTTTATGGCCAGTAAGTGAATGAAAATGCAGATTAATAGATAAACAGTAGTATAATTCTTGCTTCTGTACTTTAAATAGATGTCTAATATGAACTCTCATAGTGGCAAAGATTAGAGAAAAGCAGTAACTGACAGATTAAAACACAAACTGCATGTTTGCATACTCACCAGCGGATTCTGCAGCTTTGGCAAGGATTTCAATGTTTTGCATAAGTTCCGGGTCATCTCCAATGAAAGAACGCATGGCTTCATCAAGTTGTTCAGCCAGGTCCCTACCTGCTGAGTCATCCCCTCCTTCATGTGTTGATGTGTGTAACCCACTGAATGTAGATGACACAAACTGATTGGTAGAAGCTGAAGATGGTGACTGAGGATGATTCTGAAATAAACATAGAAATCATATAAAAAATTGTTCAGTGAATAATTTTTATGGTTCAAGATATCAAATTATCTCTGCTATTCAAATATATATTTGCATTTTCAATGTAACTTTAATATTTTTTTTTATATAACCATAACGAAAATATTCTTAAAATATTACTATTATGCCTGTACCTGTATTGAATATTCTTTAATCAGGATATATTTTAGCAATATTTACAAAGCTTGAAGTAAACTTATTGCAAATTCTTTAAATAAATTAGAATTATTGTTTGTCAATAAAAAATATTCTTTAAAGAAATACAACTATTTTACTATTTATTGCAAACCAAATTGGCATATATTTCAACACTACCATAGTAAAAAAAAAAAAAAAAAAAAAAAGATTTTCTATAACCAGCATTATAACAATAAAACAATCAAAATAAATATAAGTTTGTCATATAGATATCATTTCAGTTTATAAAACTATTTAGAAGTTATAACATCTAGAAAATTAAAATCAATGCTTCATAAAAATTTCTAAAATTCAAGCATTATGAACTAAAATCAAACATGTTATCTACTTGAAACACAATTACACAAACTAAAAACATTCTTTTCATTGCTTTGCTTCCTGCAAAGTCAAATATGAGTTTGCCATATTGATATCATTTCAGTTTATAAAACTATTTAGAAGTTATAACTAGAAAATTAAAATAATTGCTTTATATAAAGCTTAAGGGGTTACTAGGCTGCAGCCTATATTAGCCTCAAGGATAACCCAGTCCTGTTTACAGGTTGTGTAACAACAGCTCTGATTGAGAAATCATCAAACCAAATTCAAATTCTGACCCAAGTTCATTACATTCACTTTCTCACAAATACCTTGGAGAAAGGTATGACCCCCACTTCCCACGAATCTCCCTGCAGCTATAGGTTAAATACCAGGACAAATTGGGCTCATCAATTCAGAATCAGTTTATATGCTAATTAAACCAGAAGTAAAACACAAAACCGTTACAGGTATAGTGATATAGACTGTGGACCAGGCAATAGCAAAATTTTTGTTCTGGTCCACTTTCCTTCTGTCTAGTGTATATTCTCAGCTTTAAATAACCCACAAAGGGTTGATAAGCCATAAAAAAAAGTCAGTCAATCAATAAGTAGAGAGAAAATACTCTAATTAGTAGAGAACTACCCCACCATGGGATACTGGGTATGTGGCCTTGAAAAGATTATGGAGTTCATAATTAACTGTAGGGTGGGATTGTGGACTATATGATCTTGACTGAGATCAAATAAAAAAAATAAATAAATAAATATGTTAATTTTAATTGCTTTTTATCTCATCTACTAAGACTGTCAATCTACAGTCATGAATAAACAATACTTATTAAAAGTTAAGAATGAGCTCACAGCAAGAGTCAAATTCACCTCCTTTTTTAACTCAGAAAAACTGCCTATGTTACATTGTACAGCATCTCTTCCAAATGAGATACCAAACTTTTTATAGTTGACAGAATTCAGTCATGAACTCATTCTCACCTTAATCACTGAACATAGTATTTGTCATTGCTTTTCTCTTAACTGGCCAAAATTGGTAACTTTTGATGTTTTCTGAAAGTTTCAATTTTATTTACTTCATGCATTTTTACTTAATATTTTTGTAAATCTTAATATTTCTTTCCAGTTCCCAATGTGTCTTAGCCCTATTTTTTGTTAATTCTTGAATCTAATACTATCCCACCCAATCACCTGCCATGGCCTTAGTTAAAATGGATGTCATAAATTTGGGAAGTTATATTTTCTGTTCTTCAGCTAATAGGTTGCCAACTCTTGATAGAGTTGGTCAGTTTGGCAATTTAGGTTTTGGTATCAGTTTCTGGTTTTGTTTTCCTTGATACCGCAGTTTTTGATTTGGTTTTTCAGTTTTTAATTTAGTATTTTTGCTTTCTAAGGAAGCCATTCATTTTCTTGTGCAATGGTAGCATTTCCAGTCAATATCTGATTTCATTTGAAATTGATAAATTTGCAACTTTCTCATGTATTTCTGGTCCAATCTTAAAAATATTCATATGGCTGGAAAGAAAAAAATAATCTTTCTAAATATGTAATTTGTATGTGCTTTTATTCATTGAATTATTTTTTTTTACAGTAAGTTAAAACAGTATTGCTTCGACCAGCTGAAAATGCAAAATGATTTTTTTTTTAGAATAAATTTTACACGTTACTTTGTTTCACAAAATCAAAGTGACCAATCTTTATCAATATTCTTGAAAATGTACACTCCACAGCTGTTTGAGGTTTCCTATAGCCCCACTGAACTTAAATAAAGTCAATTCAGGTTTGCTATGGTAAAAATTTTCTATCCCAAGTAAAAATTATCACAAAAATGGCAAAAGTCATTTTGTCACAGCTTATTTTCTCTCAAAAAATGGATTTTCATACTTTTATAGGGGTAAAATATTGAAAACTGACTGTTTTATCATCACCTAAACAAATATCAAGGAAACTTTTGATCTGAACCACATGAAACTAGGTATTTTCTAAAAGCATAGGATATATTCTTTCATTTAAAAGTAAAATTGGCTGGTGTAAATGACTAAATTTTTTCAGGAAGCAAAATGTGAAAAAATAGTGAAAATTTTGCATTTTTTCTAGTTCTAAACAAAAATTTCCCCCATTAATGGGAAATTAACTTTTTTTTTTTTCTTTTGGAAAATCAGAAAGCCTAAATCATAATCAAACTATTCCAGGCATAAAATTGAGAGTTTTGAAGGAAATCAACATTCCTAGGGGGTCAAAACGTGACAAAGTAATTTCAATTTGTAATTTTCAATTATACAATTGTCAGGGGTTAAAAAAAATTGACACCCAGCCACAGAAATCTTTAGTAAAAGGCGAAAGATTTATCAGCAATTCCTGACCACCAGAAACCAAAAGTTTTGTTTTTTTTTGTTTGTTTTTTTAAAAAGCAGCAATAAGGAAAATTAAACCAAACTGACATCTCTGGGTCAAAGGTCAGCCAGCCAACAATAAACATTTAGAACAAGTTGTAATAAAACCCACCACTCCCAGATAAGAGCAAAGAGTGAAAAAACAAAGGGTCAACTAGGGCTTGATATAACCTATGTTTGAACAATGGCTTGATGTGTTTTGTTTTTAACACCCCATGACCCGGGTGATGACAACAACACTTAGCAGACGACATTGTTTTTTTTTTTTGCCACATATCTTTCGTATTTCCCATCGCCGGGCCATTTAACCATTCCTTTTATTCAATGATGTTCACGCCAAATGAAAGAGAAAGGAATAAAGTTTGAATGATATCATTTTGAAGTGAAAATAAGTATTTTTTCACAAAAAAAATGGTGATTTTTTTCAGAAAATTGGGCATAATTTCTTAATGCTAACTGCCGAGTGAGTGACATTTTCCACAGCCAAATCGAAGATTAATTACCAGTGAATAATTCCATGTGCAAACAATAGCTGTCTGGATCCTATAACGTCGCCCGAAAAGGTCCAAAAGTTTACTGATTGATCGAAAACTTGTTGTGCATGCTTGTGTTTTTCACAGTCAATTTCCATTATTTCATCTTGATGTTGACATTTTCGGACAGCCAAGTCATCAAGGATTCAGGAAAACAGTTTGGCATAGGTTTGCTTTAAGAACTTTACATTCTATGAGGTGTTTAAAATGTTACTAATGAATGAGATTTTGGGCCAAATATTTTGTTTACATGCCATGTTGGAGTTTCCTTTATGACAAAAACATGGCTTTTAAACAGCCATGACTCAATTAGAAGACAACTTAAACTACAACCAGAAAGATGTTCATTCCTTCTCTGACCCAAGGAAGCAAATTCCTTCAAAAATTATAAAGTAAGCAATAAAAAGAAAAATAAAAAAAAGAAAAGGCAATGCTTTTCTTTTACATCAGTCAACTGTTATTGGGGTTTTGCAAATAAATTTCTTCCAAACAAAGAAAGTCAATCAGTTAATTTTTATTTTTGTTATTTTTATTTTTCTCCGAAATAAATTTGTTTTTAATGAATACACCTAAAATTAAATATCAAAAATAATTAAAAGCTTTTAATTTCATTTTTAAAATGTGTAGATTTCCAAATCTGTGAGTATCACCTGTTCTTTTTTAGATACACATTTTGAAACTGAAATTAAAAACTATTTTAATCATTTTAAATATATAATCGTAAGTGTATTTGCTAGAAAGCCATAAAGATATTTGGAAAAATAAAATGAATTAATTTTCCTTGTTTAGAAGAATTTTATAGGCAGAACACCCACCAAACACTAGTGGCTAAAAAAGGATAATTTTTAATTCTGGTTTAAAAAAAAAAAAAAAAAAAAAAAAGACTTGCAGTTTTGAAAATATACACATTTTTAAACTGAGATTAAAACTTACTTTATTTTTTTAATATCTAATTTTATGTGTATTCAATAGATAGAAACAATTTTATTTGTAGAAAACAGACTTGCATATATGAATATATACACATCTTAAAAATGAAATTAAGAACTATTTTAATTATTCTTAATATCTAATTTAGGTGCATACCCTATATAAAAAACAAATTTATTTATAAAAAAAAAAAATCTTCATTCGTTTTTCTTGTTTGCAACAATTTTATTTCGTGATTGGCATAATAATGGCTTTTGAAAATCCTTACAAAAAATCCGACTTCATAAAATTTAGCATTAAGATGAAATTGGCAACCTTTTTTTTTTTTTTTTTTTTTTTTTACTCGTTATTTTGTTGTTAATTTTACCACAAAAAGTTTTTTTTTGAAAACTGAACCAAATAGATTTCCCTTTCAGACATCATGTCATATTTTCTTCATTTCTTTTGTAAACAAATAGATTTCACATTTATTTCCTAAAACTAGTCAATTAAATGTTTTTGACATATTTTTGTTTAATCTTTTTATTTTTTTTCTTTATTTAAAAAGATTTCTATACCTAAGATTACTCTTAACTAGGCAAAGCTGGTAACTATTG